CTTTTCTTATTTTCAGCATCAGAAAAACACAGAGCACAAACATAGAGCAAAGCAATAGCTGACTCGAGATCTTACTAAAATCAGAGACATTGTAATGAAGCCCTCTACCCTCTAATCATTTTCATTTTTATCCTGCGTATTTGTAGCTCACTGTGCATATACACATTGTGTATCGTGTGCACGTGTATTTGTCTCAGAGAGTGAGGAGTTATCTGTGGGTCAGTAGTCGGATGAAGTGTAATCCACTCATTAATTAAACGAGAGGAAGGGCAGGAGAGTGAAGGAATCAGGGCTTAAAGCCGCCTGATAGTGTGCCTGCTTAGAAACTCACTTTAATCAAGGCCTTATATCCCCCTCTAAACACACACACACACACACACACACACACACACACACACACACACACACACAGTCAAATCTTGATACTGAAGCTTTTGAGTCTAATGCTTTAATGCTGTATACAGAGACAGACAAACTGACACAGACACACCAGATGGAGTCACTACAGTATTTGATTAAGAAGAGGAACTAACATGATTTTTCTTTCTCTGTTCACATGAGGCTTTTTTGAAATCACTCCTCAAATTCAAGATGACATTAACATCACATTAACAACTGAAATTTAAAGACGAGTTCCCTTTATCTGACAGACAAAACTAAACCACAACGCATTAAGCTTTTCTATTACCTTGACTTTAACTATTTGACAGGAAAATATTTAAGGTTGGATTAATGGCAAATCCCTTTAAATTTGTGTATCTAATTCAGTTAGAACCCTACAAGGCAACGAGTGAATACAATGGTTGAAATGTTTTCCTCCTTTTGGGATCTGTTGAGATTTATGATCAATTTCAACAGAAAGTCCTTGTACCAATTCCTTTAAATGAAAACTGAGTATGGCCTCTGTGACCTACCATTTCTTTCAGTATCAGTTTGGCTTTCTTCAGCAGACTGCAGGCACAGGCTCTTCAGGATTCTATCTGCTGTCATGGACACAATCCGGTTTGACAGCTTGAATCCTCCGATGACCTGTTTTTTATCCGTATCAGTCTTGAGCAGAGCTGATACTTCTTCAAGTATTAAGAATACTTAAAAATACTAGTATTCAGTGAGCATTCAGAAGCATTTTTTAGGGGGATAATTTAAAAACACATTTAGTACATTCAGATATAAAAGGACCCACATCTATGATTGCTCCATTCAAAGCCTTTGTGTCACTGTGGAGATATTGAAATTGATAAAAAAATCTAAATTATAAGGTAAGAAGTGCTGGTAACCCCCTCTACAAAAACTATTCAAAACAAAACTATTAAAATAGGCATTGTCACCAATATTATCCAGGGACCCTGCCAGCAGCAACAAATGAATACGTCCCTGAGTTAACTTGCAATTACTTAGTCTAATCAATGCCCTTTAGTTTAACCATCTTATTACACATAGTAATAAAGAGCCTTGTCTCTGAATCATCTAAATACACAACTGTAATTGAAAGGAGGGATGATGACAACAGACGACAGCGCGACCGTGTTTCCTGCTCAGACCACTGAGCTCCTGAGTTAAATACAGTTAATGCAAAACTCCGGCAGATGAAATAGCTGTCACAACACTGCGCTGGAAATTTATAAGAAGGGACAATCCTATAACGGTTTGTGGTTTACAGTAACCAGTGCAAGGATGCTGTCTCTCTAACATACACAAGTCTGTTAATCTCCTGTAATCTCCCTGTTTAATCTCCATTGGTTTGTAGTACTTGGAAATAAAATTCTTGGATGACAATTTTTGCAACCTCTCAATATGTATCTATCAAATATGACACAGAAGGTATATATTTACTTCACATTCATTTATATAATTATTATTAGAACAAACAGTTATGCAGTATGTCACATAGGTGAATTAGAGCAAAGACACTACTAGCATTTCTTTCTGTTTTTCTTACTTTCTTTATTGTTGAACTTAATTTATCCTGAATAATAGAGGGGAGCGTCCTTAAAATGTTTTTCATACTCAACAACACTGTAAAACACAGCGAAAGAGAACATGTGAGAAAGTTCATATGTTCCGCCTCCATTCATAGCAGTATAACGCTTTTAATTTTTTCTGCTTTTCATTATTCATGTGTTCATTACAACTAATACAATAAATACTTTTTGTTTCCCTTTTGGAATTATGAATTGATTGAATATGGCTTGGATTACCTTCTTTTTAATTGCATCAAAACAAATAAGGATACTTTTAATAAGCAATCAAACTAAGAAGCATTTAAAGTTTGCCATTATGTTTAAGAGTATGCTTTAAGAAAAGGCTGATTCAATCAGACGTACTGTAGTTTAGAGGTTAAATTCTTATTTTAAACAGTATATTCAAATTTCTACCCTTCAAAATTGTGTAAACTGTTTTTGCTTAAGTGTTAACTGGAGAAAAAACCTGGTGAGAGATGCTCTGTCAACTCCTCTTACTTACAGTGGGAAAACACTAATTTGTTTTGGCTCCTCGTGGCAGCACATTCGCTCATGGAGCATCATTTTCTCATTAATTATATCCATCTTGTCCTTTCCTTTTACATTGGCAATTAAATATCCCCTGAAATACATGTTCCCTGGCAGCTTGACATTCTCTGCCTATGCAGTTTATGCCGCTCAAGCTTTCTTTGACGTACCATCTATTTTCGATGATTGTTATTATTGATCCACTTTTTGCTGACTGTTCCACTTTACTCTCAATCTCCCCTGGCAACAGGCCAGCTCCCCGAAGCAGAAATCTATGCGTTTTGATATTTACTTTGAAAAGCAACTCCTTTCCCTTATGATGTATAAGCCCAGAGATTATTTCATCCATAAACCACCACAGGGTGAAATTATAGTGTTCCCGCATTGGGGCTGGAGCAAAAACATTAGCTCACACAGTAAGAATCTGTTGAAAATCTCCGTCATTAGCATTTACATATACAGTACATGACACATCACAGTCCCCTACCTCTCTCTCACCCTCCTCTTCTATTGCTCTCTCTAGCTTTCCTCCCCTCCATTTCAATGTTATATTCTGCTGTATAATGTTATTCCAAAAAATACTTTTACCACAACAGATGGAGCGGAAAATGGATTTGCATTCAAACCCAAACTGTACTGGTGACATACCTCTTCCTACTCTCCACCAATAAGTCAAGGCTGCAACAGTGTAATATAATCACTGATATTTTCTCAAAAGATTCCCTTCTCTTTGGCTGCGTCTCAGACCGTATTTGCTCAGTTTGCTTACTGTTTGGATGTGAGTATGTGCAGGCAGGATCAAGGCTGCGCTTATCTGCCTTCTTCCATACCACCCCTTGTGTTTATTATTCTTTTTCAATACACCCCACTGTCATAGTGGGGACCTTTTTCATTTCGATAACTCCTCAAAGAGGCCAATGTGAGGGCGAAGCATCCTGAAAATTGGTTGGGGATCAAACCTTGAAGCCCACTGTGTTTGGCAGCATCATTATTTTACCAAGAAGGGGATTAAAAGAGTTGAAACAGGTTAAAAGGAAGTCAGAGAGAGAAAGTAAGTGGAAACACTGTGTGCATGACAGTGGGACACGAGAGACAAAAGGAACAGAAGTGAAGAGAAGCCAGTAGTGAAAGCAAACTGTCTCTATATTTGTCAGAGGGGTTTGAACATGCAAGCAGAATATCCCATAGATACGTAGCTTTTTGTTTTGACTGAGCCCCACTATGTTCTGAGAGATATCAGCCGGCGCAGGGTCAGAGCGTCACAGCTCTTTGATCCCTCTGCAAGGAGATTTCCCAAATCCCTGAGATGAACACTTGTGCAGAGAATGAACCCCGCAAATGATTCGAGACTCACAGCTCGGCTGCGTATACAGAAAAACACTTGTTAGGCAAACATAAACTCTGTGTGCGCGGCTCTGTGGACAAAACAAATTTCATCTTTTGCCAAGCTGACAAAGTTTGACACGTGTGAGAAATTATTTTTTCACTAACTACACCAGAGGAGCTGCACACTGTGTTTTTGTGAGCAGTTCATGCTGACAAATATCAGTGTGTCCGGAAATGACACTTAACTTTGAAGTGATATTCGTGCTGTTAAGAAATTGTCAGCGGTGTGCATCGTCAGTTTTTACTTCATTAGCCACACTTTGATTCATTCTCAGATATCGGAGACATATTGTAGCTACTGCTCAGATTGAGACAATGACAAGGGAAAAACTAAATAAACAATCAAAATAAGATTTCATAAGCTTTATCATAAGATAAAAATATTAGTTGCTGGATCTTCATTCATTCATTCACACTGTCAGACGTGAAATAAAATGCAGCCGCAGACTTCATCACTTCCTCTACATGTGATATTTGTTATGTTGACTGTCTGGGGAACAGACACGTTGCAGCCCACCATGTTTCAGATGTTTCCAGTTCTGCCTCTTCAAAATGCATGTGGTCCATTTCTCTTTTCTTTGGGGTAAAGAGTTGTGTTATTAAACATGGTTCCAGTCCTTCTGGATCCAAAATCTTACCAAAATCTACCAAACATGTCCACCTCCATAAATGAGAGGTCTGTGTTTCTTTCTTCAGAATAGATGGAGTTGCTCAGTCTTTTATACTTATGAATATATAATAAATACTCCAATGCAGGTCTGCAAAAAGACTGAATGTTTGATAAACCCACACCAAAAACATATGCTAACTTATGCTGATATGAAATCATCTACGCCTTTTTTCTTTTAATATTGCAACTTTATTCTCATAATACAATTTTTTGTCCCATTATGTGGCCCTTATACCCTGTTGTATAAATGACATTGATGTTTTCAGTGAAGTGAAATAGCTTTGGGTGTGAAAAGCTGTTCTGGCTTAGATGTTTTAATGTCATATTCTCATGAATTCTAACTTTGGCCCTGTGATGAAATCCTCTGACATGGTCTGTTTTGGAAACGCAAAACATTATCATTCTAACTGTAAACATAAAATGGCAAATACATTTTTCTTTCTTTTGTTTTGTAGGGGAGATTTGTGCCTTTAAGATCTACGGTCAGGATGCTCCATTTGAGGCGGTGGTGTTGAATCGCACATCAGGAGAGGGGGTCCTGAGGGCCAGTAGCCCTGTGGATTGTGAGAGCCAGAAAGAGTACACCTTCATAATCCAGGCGTATGATTGTGGGGCCGGACCCAGCGGGGCCGACTGGAAGAAATCACACAAGTGAGTCTAGCCGTTTGTGTTTTGTGTTCCTATTTAATTTAAATGTGCTTCTGAATTTTTCAACTAAGAAACGCATGTGCTCCTTGGTAAAAAAAAAAACAAGCCTGAAGCCCGGCTTAAATAATGAAAAAAAGTCTATTTACACTGAGGCATACAAAGAAAACAGGGATAGCTTGCAGTATAATATAATTTACTATGCCTACAAAAAACAATTACATTTTTGAAGCTGTACTGTTCAATTCATGCTGAGACAACGTTGCATAAATGATTCCTAAATCTAATATTATGGAGGCTGTAGGTTGTTCTTAAACAGATAATCTTTGTGTTTCAGTCATTTATTCTGTTTATGACCGTGGACACTGTTTCTCCTTCACCATGAGGCGTCACTCTGTGAAATTGCTTCTCAGAAGCTTTACACTTTTTGGAATTCACCAACACACAGGCAGCGACTCTCTGCATGTGTTTCTTTGTGTTTCCTAACAAACTGTGATTGTCAGACCCTGTATTCAAACTGTCACATGCAAATTATTATTTACCTCAGCGTGACTCACTTGTGTAGCTGCCATTGTAATGCAGATTTACAAGAGGGGGACAAAATATGACATGGAAACAGACACTAACTTCAAAGTCAGTCGCCAAAGAAGCTGCGCATTTGAGTCATATTAAAGAGTTTCAAAAGAAAACAGGGAAACTTTCTCAGCAAAGAACATAAGTCATCTTAAGTTGAGCCTCACCAGTAGAGTACTATAGGTGTGTAAAACTTGAAAACACAGCCTCAATTAGCAGAGTTAAAATGAGGCTAAATTGCATCACATTACAACTACATTAACGATAGTTGTTGTCACGAATATGAACATGTTTGTAGCTTTAGTTGAATTCATTTGAATATTTACCTTTGCATCATTAGTCTTGCCCCTGACTTTGAATTAATTTAGAAGTAAAAATGTGCTCCTGTGCTTCCTTCATATTTCACACTCTTAATGTTACTAAAAAAAAACTTCATTGTTATTAGATTTTGTTTTTGCTTGTTTAATTTTCTCATCCCTCAGCACTGAAGCAGTGACAGCTGAGACCTGCAGTTGTGTTCTCAGGTTCCGTCCCCCTAATAGCCCAATATGATTAGTGTGTGTGTGTGTGTGTGTGTGTGCACACTATGTGAATGAGATTGACAGACAGGCAGAGCTGCATTGACAGCAGCAAATCAAACCCTGTGGTCAGAGACGAGGAGCTTCTAAAATAAGCTTCTGCAGCTTCGGCACTAAACAGAGAAAGAGAGGGACATTTATCAGCTATGGGATCTGAGATAAATTGTGTGTGTGTGTGTGTGTGTGTGTGTGT